ATAGGAAATCAAAGGCCATTTCCAAAAAGACACATCTCTTCCAAGCATCTTTTCGGACCAGATATTGGCCATCGATTACAATCAACGGTCCAGATCGCATCTATTGGATCTTGGAAGTTTCCAGACACATCTAGGCACGTCCATCCACTTCTAGACACATCAGACCCAAGCCCTAAATAGTTAACCAAACCCATGGCCCAACCACAAAAGCCCATCGGCCCATAGCCAGCCCTGGCCTACCAAGCGGCCCGGTAACCGCCCAGACTTGACCCAACGGCCCAAAACCCAAACACTCAGTCCAGATAAGATGAGCTGATCCCTAGCTGGTCCAGCTGAGTGCTCTAGTAGTCCAGCTCAGGGAGCTGACTCTACTCAGTGTGAGCTGGCCAGATCTGAGTCTTACCTCGTTCAGCTGATCGAGCTTCCCGAACACTTCACCAAGCTGCCGTAGTACTCGTCCAGCTTGCTTATCTTCATCTTATTCTCTTTCTAAGTCCTTTTGTCCATTCCTTGACCAAGGTTAAGCTTTACCATGATCTATTCTGATCATTCACTTCATCACAGCTTGTTCATGATCAATTCTCATGATATGACCAAAGCAGTCTCGTTTCTATTGAACGTCTTGGCCTTATGTCAAGTTTCAGCAACGGAAACATGACAGTTCAGCTGGTGTGAGCTGACCAATGACTGTGTAGCTAGACCGAGCTGGGCTGAGCCTCCCTGAGCTCCCTTGAACTAGGTCGAGCTGTCTCTACACCTCGTCTAGCTACCCCTTTACTCGTGTAGCTCCTTTTGCTCTTTTGCCTTCTTTATTTGGCTAAGTATCAGCTCCCTGATGTACTTAACCACGTTTCTGGACGATGATATGCTTGTATTTAGATCATATGACCTGACTGGTGTGTCCCCTCGCACCATGGTCTATCTAGACGATCCTAGCCAGGATCAGGGACATAACAAACTTCACTTCTTTCACTGATCCAGGTTGAATTCCATTCAACAAAACCTTCGTTGACCCCACTTGAACCTCATTTCCAACTTCTCAAAATCCCAAGTTATTGGACCTAAACGTGCAAGCCACTGCACTCCCAGTACCACGTCATGACCACCCAATGGAATTACCGTAAAATCAGAAGTAAACTGATGGCCCTGAAATTTCCATTGAAATTTTTCAATTTTCCCACACACCGATATACTACTCCCTCCCGCTTCTGAAACTTTAGTTCTTCCTGCTTCTTTAATCACACAACCAAGTGTTTCTGCCACATTCTTGTCTATGAAGTTATGTGTTGAACCCGTCATAGTGGTATAATCCGTAATACCAGAGATGGCATTAATAGAAATCCGAGCTTGATCGATATCTTGATACTCACGCTCACTCTTCTCATACTCCAACGCCTCATGAAACACCTCTTCATCTTCACAATCTATAGCAAATAACTATGTTTGCTTATGCTTTAAGTAATGATCTGGTGTGAATTTCTCATCACAATAATAGCATAAGCCCTTAGCTCTTCTCTCACTCATTTCTGCTTGTGACAAAAAAAGTTTCAACTTCCCACCTCCTTCCTTCTGCTTTGACTCGTCATCTTTTTTATAAGGAAGAAGTCCTTTTTGTTGGTTGTAATTGCCCTGAGATTTTGCTGGAATCCAACCACTCTTCACTTCTTTCTTGGGATGTGCTTTTTCATATAATCGACCAAGTACCAAACATTGACGAGTTGATTGTGGATTAAACATACGTATATGCATTTGTGTATCCAGTCTCAGGCCTGCAAGATACGCACTCAACAGACACTCCTCAGGTATTCTCAATCTTGATCTAATTAATTCAAACTTCGCATGATACGCAGCAATTCCATCAGTCTCTTTCAACTCTTTCAACTCTACCATTGGATCATCAAGAATTTCCTCAAATCTTTCTTTGAGTCTGTTCTTATAAACACGCCAATTTCGTATACTACTGCTTCTTAATCCTCCTGTCTCAGAGCTTGATGCCAAGTAGATGCCTCACCATCAAAGTGCATAGAAGCTATTCCAACTCTCGATTCTTCAGGAGTATTATCAAGTGCAAAGAATTCTTAAGCTTTACTAAACCATTCTTTGATCTTACTACCGTCAAAACGAGGAAAATCAATCTTCGTTAGTCTCGTCATGCCATTGTGATTTTGTACCTGATCCTAACGGTTGTGGCGTACACGATCGGTTCTCATCGCACCGATTCCTTGAACTTCACCACCACTCGTCGACGCATTCATCGGATTTTGGCTAGACATAACCTTGAAAGCTTCGATCATCTCTCTTACTTCTACATCTCTCCTCTCGTTTTGTTCGATTTGCGAAGCAATCGCCTTCTTCAAAGCTTCGAAACGATTCGCCTAAGCTCCGTCGACGTATTTTTCCACATTCTCCGATGTCGTATGAGATCTCGTTCTCACCATTGATTATGATCAAGATCCCGATCCAAATCACCACCGATTCCGAGGACGATTAGCTCTGATACTACTGGTAACAAGAAGGCGGATATGGGCCAACTGCCGCTGCAACAAAACTGAACAACGCTCCATGACCTGCAAAATCTTTATCGTGTAGAATTACCATGAGAGGTCCGCTCAGGGCACTGGGATATGCTACACACCGATTGTGCCACCGATGAGTAAAGAACTTGTCAGACCACAAGAAGTCTCCACTCAAACGCCAATCCCCATCTCCGAAAACCGAAGGGAGGTAAGTTTTATCTGACAAGGGATGCACTAGCGTCATAGTACAACCTCACGAACACCCAGAGCACACACAATTGAGAGCTTAAGTCAACTTACCTCCACAAAAGATCGTGACGAGTAGCTGAGAAGAGGAAGCAAATTGAGAGGGAGAGACTATGCCGCGTCGAAGAAGCCATAGACGACAACCACACCGCAGCAACGAACCAACACCACAACACCACAAATGTTAGTGGGATGAAATATTATCTTATCTTTCTTTATCATTATTCTCATTTTCTATGGGTCTTAACGAAAAAAGTTAAATCATTTAACACTCTTAATAATTTATAATCATTTAAAAAAATTCAAAATATAGCATATAAATTTTTTTAAAATTTTTAATATATGATTAATGTGATTTTTTAATTTGTTTTAAGAATATAAAATTAAAAAAATGATAGAGGATAGGAAAATTTTTATCAAATCTTTATTATTTAAAATAATTAATTTTCATATATTTGTTAACTATAATAGATAATTTCGTAGTTTTTAGTTAAAGAAAGAAGATAGAATATATTATTTTTATGCTATTAATTAATTTGATAGTTAATTTAATAAAAATTATAATTTATGTATGAACTAAATTATTTTTTCTGAAAATTGTAAGAATTAACGCAGTGATGACACTTTGATATAAAAACTATTGTAATGTTCCATGAGTAATATATAAGAGATGTTTTCAGAGCTATAAGGTAGAACTAGTATATTTCCCATTGCTAATGTGTTTTGATGATACTGCAATTTATCTTCTGTGTGTGACTAATGTCCTTTAACTTCCCAAACATTAATTGATCTTGCTATTACCGAATTTAAAGAGTGGCTTGATGCGAAACCATTTAGAAGTCCAATTACTAGAAGGGAATGTAGTCAAGTTCGATAGCAAAAACAATGGACAAGCTTGATGTGTCAAACGAATGGATCATGCAAGTTTCTATCTTGTGATGTATATATTTTCCAGTAACATGATCACAAAATTTATATTTATCTCTACATTCTGTACAAATATCTTTAACTTGTGTGATACAATCTGTTGGAACCAATCGACATCAAAAGATAAAAAAAAAAAACAATTCTGGATTTGTCTTAATCAATTAGGACCCCAACAACTCAAATACATGACCGTCCTGAGAGACTCCTCAGCTTGCTTCGCCTTGTCACTATCCTTACCAGATGCAACGACCGCTGTGGACAACGAAGAGAATCTATTCGCCTGAACAGCGGATCTCACATTGTTTCGAATACGTTGATTCACAGATCGGATCAGATAATTCCACCGGCATAGTCCTAACTGGTCTTTCGAGGCCTCCACGGCTCCGATGGTTGCTGCCACTAACCATGCCTTGCTCCTTGAACTCATCTTTTCTCACTTTTTTTATTTAACTGTAAAAATCAGAGAATCTCTTCCTTTGTTTTCTTGTTTGTTAAAGCCGAATTTCTTGTTGATGAAGATGAGATTTCCATGTGTCCGTTTATATAATAAAAAGAGGATTAGATTTTGCCGCTTGTTAGTGCAAAACCAGGCGCTCATTTTTTTTATATTTTTTTGAACACCCAGAAACCAGACGCTCTTTCCCCTGGTTTTCCCAAGTTTTTGCGTCTAAGTTTGGTAAATTGATTTGTAATTACCAATGTGCCACATGACAACAAATTGGATAAGGGTTAATATTGTCTTCTCAGATACCCTGGATTATCCGAAGTGTGCCTATGCGCACCTGGTTTTGCTGTACTATATTTGTCGAACGTGCACATTATTCCTTCGATTGATTTATAACGACGAAATCAAGTTCATTATTGAATTTTGTAAAAGCATTACAATCAACTCAAACCAATATGAGCCGAGGTAAGGACACTGCTCGTCTGGGCTGGACCAGGAGAAAGCGATGCATATATGCAGGTCTGCATATATGTAAGACTCGTTAAATTTGATTGTGTTTTTATTTTTAACTTACTACTAGATTAAAGATAGCTTGAATTTTAAGTAATCCAAGGTCAAAACTCTACATTAATCAGTTTGAAGAGAGTTTGGAGAGCGAACAACATTGTAGGTCTCCATTAATATAGAACTTACCATAGCATGATGCAGATTACAACTTACGACACAATTAAAAGATACTTATCTCTTTCTTATGTGCGTGGAGAGATTAAATCAATTATGGCCTTCTTGTGTTCAACTCTTACAGATACGATCGAGTAGATATATTATCTTTAACGAACTAAATGAGGAAAAATTTGCTAGCTGACTCACTCGGACACAACTAATTCCTCAGATAGAGGGTCTAGCCTATGCATGCTTCTTGATAAAAACCCCGGTAATTGAGGCACTGGTAAAGTAATTGTGTTGCTAGTGAGCATTAAAATGATAGTTGATAACATTGGACGGTTTTCTGGATTATCTTGAACACACAAGAGTGCAATATGGATGCATCTAGTGACTTCATTACTCTGATAGTTGCTTCCAATTGCAGAACTACCAGCTCTAGTGGTGACCCCTTCCTCCAAAGCCTCCAAGCCTAACAAAATAAACAATCAAGAACCTTGGTCATGTGTTTAAAGATGTTAGATTGATGGAAGTTGAGGACTTTATGCTCACGTAAGTGACCAAGTTTCCACAAGTACTGGTTTCATCCATCTTGTATACGCCACTATTTTTCTTGCCGCTTATAATCTCCAGAACTAATACTCCAAAGCTGTAAATGTCAGATTTCATAGAGTATTGACCATGCATTGCATACTCAGGAGACATGTAAGCACTGAAAACATAAAATTATGGTTAATATTATTATGTCATAAAAAAAAGGTGTAACAATTTTTTTGTTTGAGGTTTACTAGGTTCCAGCTACTCTGTGGGTATTGCCCTGAGTTTGCTCCATTCCAAAGATGGTCGACAATCCAAAATCTGAAATTTTTGGGTTCATGTTGACATCTAAGAGAATGTTGCTGGCTTTGAGGTCACGATGAATGATTGTTAGCTGTGAATCTTGATGAAGATATAAAATCCCTCTAGCAATCCCTCCAATGATCTTGTAACGCTGGGTCCAGTCTAGCTGACTTTGCTTTTCAAGGTCTACAAAACTCCATGTATGATCAATCAGTTTACAAAGCTGAAGAGGAATCCTTAGATTAGGAAAACTATTTAAAGAGAGAGCCATACCAAATAATAAATAGTCAAGGCTTTTGTTGGGAACAAACTCATATATGAGAATCTTTTCTTCTCCGTCCATACAGAATCCAAGAAGCCTAACCAGGTTCCTATGTTGAAGTTTTGACACAAGAACAGCCTCGTTCCTGAACTCTCTTGTGCCCTGTCTTGAATTTTTCGACAGCCGCTTCACAGCTACTTCAGTTCCATTAGGTAACTTACCCTATATAACATCGAATAAAACAAAATATCGTTGGTGATTTTCATGGCCATATTAACTTAGAAAACAGAGACCTCCTTACCTTGTAAACCTCACCGAATCCACCTTCCCCGAGCTTATTAGTGCTTGAAAACTTATTTGTTGCAGCTTCATTTGTTTTAAAATCGTATTGTGATGAATTCTCAGTTGAAATACCACTATCAGCTGCAAGTCATGGGTTTACTAATTATGCATTTTATACTCTTCTGCTAGAGAAAACTATAAAAATGTAACGAGTAACTAACATTAATCTCAGTTCTTTGGTATGCTTTTCTCCTCCGGGATAGAACGAAACCTAGAACAAGCACTATTAAGATGGTCACAATAATCGGAACGGTAATCGCCGCGACAATTCCAGCTGAAATTCCGTGGGAAAATGGGTTTTTTAATCCTCAACTATCTGAAATAGGCAAGTTTAATATTGAAGTATTGTTTGCATGGTTTTAATCACCAATGAAAAGTTGACTTGGCAAATTAATGATAAAATAGTCAGACTTTAAGTTTTAAACGGTTTCTGTTAGTATTATATGCCTTTGTTCTTCTGAAATTTGAAATCCTTAAGCACACAACGGCTATTCTTGACAAGCAAAGGCGAAGAAAAAATCTGGCAAGACTTAAGTTATGTTCTACGAGTCGTTTGTCTCGGCCTACTCAAAGCTGAGCTTCTCACCGATCAGAGATGAAAACGGGTGTATTCTCTTCACTGGTCATAACGATCAAAATTACTCATATTTTTCTACTGGTTTTGGATGATGTATCTAGCCTTATGAGGTAAAATTATTACAAAAAGTTGTTATTTTGTCTTTAAATGGATACACATTTACTGTGGAAATATACTCAAGACTAGTGTTTTGTCTTCATCATAGTGATGTCTTTGATGTTTGTGAAATATCCTACCGAAAATCTGACGGGAGTTGAAAAATGTACTTCATTTTGCCATTCGTAATGGTGAAATTTTCTTTTTCAATATTGGGCGTTACATGATTCAGAATGTTCATAGTTTTTTTTTTTAAACAAGTTATTATTGTTCCAGTTCTAGTGGAACTCCCTATCGCCTGCTAATTGAATTGATTCATTTTTTGTTGTTGTATAGTTGATCTTCTGAAACTGGGAGAACTATTAGACTACACAACTCAAGATAAACATGTTCAAGAGTACAATGAGGCTAAAAATTGATAAATGGGGATGCGTCGAACAACTGAACCTTCATCTTTCACTATCAAAGTGGAAACATTTCGTCTCTTGATGAATATGATTAACATTAAATATCAAAGATCTTTTCTAGAACCTTTTTGAAAAGTTAAAAGTGTTTGGTTCTAATCTTCTTCTACCGTGAAGGTCTTTGATTTAGTAAGGTTTGTATTACTGGTCCTGAGATGCTTGCTAGTAGGAATGCTTTCTAAGCCAAAACTTCAAATCAAGATCTCCCTCTGGAAAACTATTGAGTCTACGGTAAAGCGATTGTTCTTTGAATTTGTGTTGATGTATTTGTTAGCTTTTCACGATTTTTTTTTTTTGAATAAGCGTTTCACCATCTTAGTGAAGTAAATAACCCAAAATTGGCTATCTTATAAAGTAGAGAGAGACTTACAACACATAAACCTGTTCGTGTTACTACTATTCCTCACTATACCAACACAATCTCTCATGTTTGAACATGCGTATCCCATTGATGAAGGAAATAGGAATCCGAAACGAAATAACAAAAATACCCGATAGGGGTGGGCATTTTACCCGATACCCGAACTCGTATCCGAACCCGACCCAAAATATCCAAACCAAAATCCGAAACGAAATAACAAAATACCCGAACGGATATTGAGTTAGGAGAGTTTGGATATCAGAACCCGAACGGATATCCGAAGATAACCGAGCATATGTATATATACATATATTATTCTTGGTTTATTTATCTCATTTTATTCAAAATATTTATATTAGTGTTGTATATAGTTTAAGATCAGATAATATACATATAATTTTTTAAAAATGATTTGCTATTTATTTAAAATGCACGTTAAGCTTCTTATTTCATGTTTGCACAAAAATTACATCCAAAGTTTGAAAATAACAACTAGATTAATGATTTCTATTTTTAATAATTTATTTTGAAACTTATTAAAACAGTTAAGTTAATAATAAATTTTAAGTATACAAAACGTAAGATATGAAGAAATTGAATTTTTTCTTTCAAGATCTAAATATCTGAAACCCTATCCAAAATAACTGAACCTGAACTTAAAATATCCGAACCCAAACCGATATATAAAAATACTGAAATATCCAAAAATTCGATATATCTGATCCGAACCCGAACGGGTACCTAAACGCCCACCCCTAAAATTTCTTCTCTTGTGCATGGATTATGTGATAAATGTTTCTGGAGCACTATCAGATTTTCTTCGGCAAGTGTGTGTGTCTGTATTTCACAATCCCAAACGCTCGGCCACCGAGGCATCTTCTCCGAATTTGGTAAGGGTATTTCAAATTTTTTTTAAAAAAAAAAAAGAAAAAAAAAAGAAGATGATCATTCACGGGCTGCCACGTGTCTTGGGGACCCGCAAATAGTATAAGGATTCGCTAAGAAACAGTCCTTACTTAGGGATTTTAAGGATCAAATCCTTAACTTTTTGTAGGGTCTACTGATTATTTAATTATTTTTTCCCTAAGGACTCTCCCCTAAAGACCCCGTTGGAGGTGCTCTTAATTGTATGTTTAGGGATTTTAAGTTTTAGAAGCACACGAGTATAAACTAACGGAAACCGTTTGTAATATAACGTTTGACTATTTTAGTCCTTAATTTGCCAAGTCAATACTTAATTTGGGATTAAAATCGCGCAAGCAATACTTCAATGTTAAACTTGCTGATTATAAATGGTTGAGGATTAATATGCTCATTTTCCCGAAATTTTGTTGCTATTTTTTTCTAACAAATACAGAAAATAAATGTCAAATATTTCAACTGTGTTTTTACAGTAACTAGATCTTTTTCCCCGGCTACGCCCGGGTTATTTTGTAGGAGAAAAAACATTCGTTGTGTCATTATGTATTTTTTAGAAAAAGTGTTGATTAAAAATGTTGGAAACCCGAGATGCTAATATATATTAGCAGGTGCTTTATACATAATATTTTTTAATAACTTCGAAAAATGTTCAGTCAAAGAACTCGTATTGAATAAAGCAGGTAATAAGTAATGTTTGATGCATAATGAAATAGAAACGTTTGTGAAATAATGTTTAGAAGTAGATGATAGTTTTCATAATCTTGAAGAACAAATTTATAAAGTCTTAAACAACGGGAAAATATTAATGATGGAGAAACAGGAGGTACTCTCAAGGTATAGGATGTAGATGGGGTGGGAGTTTTTTGAACTGGGGCCTGAAAATTAATTAAAATAAGTTAGTGAGTAGTTATTATTAATAGAAATATGTTTATTTATTTCATAATATATGTATAGGTACCTAGAGGTGAGAAGATATACATCATCATTGTAGCATTTTTTCTTCCAATTTTTTGTGTTATCAGCTAGAGCACTGTAGAGACAATTGTGATTTTTCAGCTAAATAACCCTTTAATTTTCTTTTAGTTTTGCGTCTAAGTATAAATTTTTACTTACTTTCATCGGAAGGAAGCCGGTTGAAGATCTCTTTGTAGACTATGTTTTCACTTTCTGAGGGTGTGAATCTTGGCCCTTAATGATTTTTAGTCCTGCTTTGCTTGTCACGCGTGAGAGAAGAGCCACATATAGTTGACCATGGGAGAAGACCGTATTAGGTAGATTTTTCAAAAGATGCTCCTTAATCTCTCTCCAGTTCGGATTAGCCGTTATTATGATAAACAAATCTGGATTCCCATATTCTCTACAGATAGCCATTGCGTCATGGTGTTTCTCAACTAAGTAGCGCGTCCCACCGGTGAAACTTGGTGGCAATATGTACTTCTGACCAATAGCATCGTTGTGCCCCCTACAGACAACATCAAGGACATTACTGTAGAGCTCTGCTCGTAGGACATCTTGATTATTCCTCGCCCATCGTAACCGGTCTTCCTCAGTTGCCGTGAAAACGCTGATAACATATTGATGGAGGAGACGACCGCCTTTAATCAATGTCAGCCCCTGATTAAGACGCGTCTGTATTTGAGCAGCGTAGAACTGATGTATCGTTAGGAATTTCCTTGTCCTTGAAGTCCCTGTCTCAAGATGTAGTGGGATCTCGGGTTGGAAACCATAATCCGCAAATGGAAACAGAAGAGGGTATTGGAGGCTCATGTATAGGGGGTGGTCATCACATATCTGCTATAAAGTGTCAGATTGGAATTGGACCACTATATCTCATTCTCCAATTGTTTCTGACATATCTCCTATGATAACGCCGGCGACTTCGCTTGTACTCGGAAGATCGTATTCTTTCCGTTTCTCTTTATCTGGGAGTAACCTAATATGAAAATTTTTCCCAACGCTTTCGTAGTGGTCATGTTCTCGACGGAAAACTTTCGCCAAACAATTATTCGTGTCAATCATCTTGATGAGGCAATCTAAGGTTGCCGCATCGAGATTGCCTTCATTTGATGTTTGCCCCATCGCGTGTAATTGATTCCTTACTTCGTTGTCTGTATCAAATATGTAAAGCTGGAGGTATTCGGGCATTTTTCCCCGTTGTGGTATAAGTGATCTGATTATATGGTGGGTCTGACCTTGGATTCATATAGTTTAAGGACTCGGCGCATACATCACACTATTGGTGGAATCTTTATTTGGCCATGGTTACAGCAGAGTGTGAATGTTGATTTGCCTGTTTTAGCGTCTTTACCAGTGCTCTCTGAAATCCACATTAATGCGTCACATTTTGAGCATGCTATGATAGGATTGTCTTCAATTGTAGATGTGGACCCTTTATCTGGAAAACATATGTTTATAATTGATAAGACCCAGTGTACTTTATATATTTGGGTCTTAATAGAGTATTGGGTCTTAAATTATTTACTATACTAATTAATAAGTAAATAATTTTGGATTATAATTGTTGTAAGAGTAATTAAGTTAAAAACTTTTTTTTTAGTTTATAATTTATTAAAATTTTGGTCTTAAAAATTATTTGAATATGACGCCATATAATATATTTATTACGACACAATTAAAATTTAATTTGCCGTAATTACATTTATTAGTGAGTGTAACAAATTAGTTGTTAGGAAATTAGTACCTTATTATAAATTACTTTGAATACAATTTCGAATCAATCGAATTGTGTAGTGACATTTAGTATTAATGTATATTATTGTTTAGTTTACTAATAGTTTCTAAACATTATAATTGTCTAAGAGCTATTGGTATTAGTTCCATTGTGTTTTCACATAAGCAAATGTACATATGTTAAGATCTTTAGACGGTTGTAAGTTGTACGTAGCTTTTCTCCTCCCTCGGGTGTGACGCAAGCCAAGCGAGCTTCCTGGCACGTTTAAGCCTATGCGTTTAACGGTGAATACGTTTATTGTTACCAATGGTATCAGAGCTAATCGTCCTCGGAATCGGTGGTGATTTGAATCGGGATCTTGATCAGAATCAATGGTGGGAACGATTCTGATCAAACACCATATCGTAGCTTAGTGGCAAAAGATCACAAATAAGAACTAGATTTTCCAATTATAAGCTCTCCAAATTGTTACAAGAATCCTAGAATTACGGAGAGGAAAATAGGATACAACTTTTCTGAATGAATACTACAAATGAGCTAAAGCCGTATAGATGAACACGGCCAATAATTCCTTGACACATGTTAACTCCGTTGACACTAACTCCTAACAACCACCCCATCCACTCTAATACCTCCACGTGTCTATTTTTTTCTTCTCCTATTATTCTGTATACAGATGTACGATGACAAATCAAAGCCTCAACACATCTTTTTGCCTCACTCCCTCTTGCCCAATGGCCCATCACCAGAGCCGTAAGCATATCTTCTCAGACTGCCACGTGCCACTCCCAAGTCCCAACGTTAAACACCCTTTATCTTCTCAAAAACACGTAGAGAGTTGCTTCGTCTCCATCTTCTTTGATCAACCCTCCAACTTCAGAAATATTAGCAATGGAGAACAGCGTCACGTGCTACTCACGTGGGATCGTCCTCCCAAACGCCTCTTTCTCAAAAATCCTCTGCACTGGTTTCTCATCCTTCTTCCTCCTCTTCTTCTTTCTGCTTCAAGGTTAGTATCCTCTACAACATATTACTTGAGTTACATACAAATGCACATGTGTGCGTACAAGGATAATTTATTTACTGATACTAGTCTAGTGAGTGTGTAATGTATTCAGCAGCGTCTGAAGTCAAGCTCCATGTTCGGAGATTCACTACGACTAACACCAAGAACACAAATGAAAGCAACCAAGGCTAAGAACAATGGTGCGTCAGCCATGACCAAATGTGAAATTGGTCAAAGCTTGGTAACAAAAAAAAATCAAATCTTTAAATTCAAATCATATGGTCAAGATTTTATCTTTGAGTGAAAGTTTTTTTTTTTTTACTTCTTGAGTGTATGTAGGAAGAGTTTTTGACACAAGCAACACCTGACAAGGGATTAAGAACTTTGCTGATGTGTATGGGAGAAGCATTGAGGACAATAGCTTTCAAAGTTAGAACAGCTTCTTGTGGTGCAACAGCTTGTGTTAATTCCTTTGGTGATGAACAACTCGCTGTCGATATGCTCGCCGACAAGCTTCTCTTTGAGGTTTGCTTCATTACATTTTTTGAATCACTTGTTTCCCAAGTTTGATTTTGATGATCATTAAGCCGACCGAGATTTTGAGAACCTTAAGCAATTTAGTAAGAACCTAAGTTAAAAATATAATTAAATAATTTGGAGATTATGTTCATATATTTACTCTAAAAAATTTGGGGTCTAAAGATCAATGTTTCACTTTACTATGTTCATGACCGGCTCATTATGCTTTGATCTGTGTATTGGTTTTATAGGCTTTGCAATACTCTCATGTGTGTTAAGTACGCTTGTTCTGAAGAAGTACCTGAGCTTCAAGACATTGGAGGTCCAGTAGAAGGTGGGTTTAGTGTGGCATTTGACCCATTGGATGAATCCAGCATTGTGAATACAAACTTCACAGTGGGAACCATATTTGGGGTTTGGCCTGTAGACAAGTTAATCGGGGTCACGGGAGCAGATCAAGTGGCTGCAGCCATGGGAATCTATGGTCCAAGAACCACTTATGGTTTGGCTGTTAAAAGATTTCTAGGAACTCATGAGTTCTTGCTTCTTCATGAAGGTATGTCTCTGCTTTTAGTCCAATATATCTAGGTTTAAAAAGCTTCTTCTCTCTTTGGTAGCTTTAGAATAAGCTCTAAATGTATTCACATGGAAATGGCAGCATGTTAAGGAGACAACAGAGATCAACGAAGGGAAAATGTTCTCACCAGGAAACTTGAGAGCCACGTTTGACAATTCTGAATACACCAAGGTTCTTGCTTCTTGATCAATCTGACTTTTAACTTTTCTTGAATCTATAAATCGCTGAATGCTTTACTGTGAGTCTGTGAGATCAGCTGATTGATTACTACGTGAAAGAGAGTACACACTACACAGGAGGTATGGTTCCTGACGTTAACCAGGTTTCTTAAACCGGATCCCTACTGTTGAATGAAACTTGAGTTAAACACTTTTGTTGGCATGCAGATTATTGTAGAGGAGAAAGGAAGCTTCACGAACGTGACTTCTCCTACGGCTAAGGCAAAGTTGAGGCTGTTGTTCGAAGTGGCTCCTCTTAGCCTGCTCATTGAGAACTCAAGTTGCTTATGGCTCAAAGAACGAGATCATCCGCTTTGAAGAAACCCTTTACGGATTATCAAGACTCAAGAATGTTAAAGTTTAAGCCAAAAAAAAAAAAAGACTCAAGAATGTTCCCATTGGAGCTACTGCTTAGAATACTTTTAAAGAAAATATACTCAAAAGCATGTTTTTTTTGGGACCATAAACCGGATAATCTACTCTCTTTTTCTTCTGTAGAGTTATTATATGAGATGCAACGAAACTAGTACCAAACTCTAGTATCTCACAAGTTATGGTAGGCCTAGGATTTTGACATGAACCGAACTTACTGAACCGAACTTACTGAACCGAAATTCTTACTTTTTGGTTTATGTTCGGTTATAAGTTTGGTTCAGTTTGCTAGTTTTAAAAAGTTCCAGTTATCGCGGTATCAGTTCGTTTTTATTAAGAAAATCCTAACCAAATCATACTGGTTCGATCGGATTCTCTTTTATAATATTGTAACTGAGGTTATGCTAATCTTCTATAAAACTTTTTTCCTTCTGCTTTCATTTGTAAGTCGTTAATGAAAAATAAACTAATACATAACGAAATGAAATACGTGGTAGGCCATAAGAAACTCCTAAATGTTTTCGAATATTGAAAGCTTTGTAGTTTTATAGTTGTTTGTTAATCAGCAAAGAGGTTGTCCAAATATTTCGCCATATGGCCAGATATAGATGCAAAGTGATGCTTTTTCCAAATACCCGTCCAAGTGGACCAATGACAAACGAACAAAATATATCGCTTTGTACAGAAAATGAATTGTCCAAGAAAAAAATAAAGAGTTGGCGAGTCTTCGGAATGGACTAAGGTCTTCCTACAACGTAAACGAAGCTTAAGAAGACACGAAGCTGATGTGATGGATCATTAAGCCGCCCTTGCCCCTGCCTGCTTACACATGGCTCTCTACCTTCTCGTTTCTCTCCAACTTTTCTTTTACCCTGTGATTACAGGTTTTTCAGTTATTTTCTTTAGGCATTTTGTTTTTCTTATCAAACATGAATCTGATTTTGAACAAGGAAAGTTACGTATGAATTTGGTGTAAGTCACCAACTGGGTTTGTCAATATATGTAAAGTAAAACTTCTATAAATTAATATTCAATAAATTATTAATCTCTGTACTAATAAATTTTATTCGTCTCAATTTGAATCGATTCAAAATTTGACTTAAATCAATAAAATAATAATATTTTTAAAATTTTTTTATAAATATATAGTTCCATTAAAGTTATAACTTATATGTATACATGTTTTATACAAGTAAGAATCAGTTATTATATTGTTTCTTTTATATCATAATGAAATTATCTTTATATTTTTTAACACTTAATATATTTTTGATGAGATTTAGTAATTTTATATCTACAACCATACTTAAATTATATGTAATATATAATTATATACACCAATTAATATAAAATTTAAATATAAATGTCAAAGTTCAAAAAGTAATAACTAATGTATATACAGTAAAATCAAATATTTTTCTTATCTTAGAATAAATATATCTTAAAATAAGAAATATAAATAAGGAAACTTTTATAAATTAATATCTCTATAAATTAATAAAATTTTAAAATCTCAACATTATTAATTTGTAGAAGTTTCAATGTAGTTCTTTTCAATGGGATTTACACACAAAAAAATATTTTCTAAAAAATAATTATTTGAATTAACATCGTAAATACATATATTTTTGTAATATATAAGAAGTATCATATAGCAAAGCATCAAAATAGACAGCCAACAATATGCAAATGTTTTGTTCAGAAGTATCAAAAAAAATTATTTATTTTAGTATCTATCAGCAAAGTAACAGTTAAATTATATTTTTATCAATAAAACTCTAACTAATTTATATGGCTTCGCATGGTAACCAACCGTTTCGTATCGTACCCCTGTGAATAGTAACAAAAATTACTACATATGTTTATATATCTATATATTTTTGTTATTATTTGAACCATACAACCACTACAAGAAAACTAAGCCTTTACTAGGAAATTTTACTAGGAAAAATCTTCCTCGTAAAATTACTAAGGCCTTACTTCGAGTTTACGAGGAAAGCAAATTTCCTCGTAAGATCCTCGAAAAATTACGAGAAAACGTTTTCCTCGTAAGACCTTAATAATTTTACGAGGAGCTTACGAGGAAAAAATACTTTTCCTCGTAAAGCCGTAGTAAAGACTTTCCTCATAAACGCATAGTAAAAGTTTACTACGAAATTAGGAGGAAACGATTTATTACTACGAAATTATGAGGAACTGGATAGGAAATATCGAATTTAAATAAAAAACGTGTTTTGTAACTACTTTTCCTAGCAATTTCCTAGTAAATGCTCAGATTCAAAAATTTCTATAAATACCACCTTATGTGATTCATTTGAAACACACCCAAAAAAAATCAGCTATAAGCTTGATCAAACACAAAAAAATGTTCGGTCCGGGAAATATTTTCGAGTTGCGGCAATGGATGTATTCACACAGAGATAATAGCGGGAGGGTGACGAACAAATTTCTTGAAGGGTTGGAGACGTTTATGCATCAAGAAGATTCTACACCACTCACGCAGGAAAGTGGTAAGATGTTCTGTCCTTGTCGGAAATGCTGCAATAGCAAATTAGGCCCTCGTGAAAATGTTTGGAAGCATTTAATAAATAGAGGTTTCATGCCATATTATTATATTTGGTATCAACATGGAGAAGATGCTAGTTGTAGGAATGAAGGTAGCAGTAGTAATCAGGTTGAANGCCACGATTCAAACCGCAAGGTCGAGGGCGCAATAGGGTACCGTACCAAAGGATGTGGTACCTACCAATCACAGACAGATTGAAAAGATTGTACCAATCTGAGGAGACTGCTGGAGGGATGAGATGGCACGCCGAGCATACTCAGACGGATGGAGAGATGACTCATCCATCAGATGCAAGAGCCTGGAAACATTTTAACCATGTACATCCACATTTCGCTAGCAATAGCCGGAATGTGTATCTTGGATTATGCACTGATGGTTTTAGTCCATTTGGAATGTCTGGGAGACAATATTCATTGTGGCCGGTCTTTCTTACACCGTATAACCTGCCACCGGAGATGTGCATGCGACGAGAGTTTCTATTCATGAGCATATTAATACCTGGTCCAAAACATCCAAAAAGATCTCTCGACGTTTTTCTACAACCACTGATAAAAGAGTTGAAAGATTTGTGGTCAANGGGAGACAATATTCATTGTGGCCGGTCTTTCTTACACCGTATAACCTGCCACCGGAGATGTGCATGCGACGAGAGTTTCTATTCATGAGCATATTAATACCTGGTCCAAAACATCCAAAAAGATCTCTCGACGTTTTTCTACAACCACTGATAAAAGAGTTGAAAGATTTGTGGTCAACAGGGGTGAGGACATATGATTATTCAACGAAAACAAACTTTACGATGCGAGCGATGCTTTTGTGGACCATAAGTGACTTTCCTGCATATGGTATGTTGTCTAGGTGGACTACACATGGAAGATTAGCTTGTCCATATTGTAATGGAATGACAGATGTGTTTCAGTTGAATCATGGTAGGAAGACTAGTTGGTTCGATTGTCACCGTCGATTTCTTCCCATCCACCACCCATACCGAAGAAACAAGAAATTGTTCAGGCACAAAAGGGTTGTCAGAGACACTCCTCCTCCATATTTAACTGAAGAACAAATCGAAGCGCAAATCGATTACTACTGTGCTCTAGAAACAGCTCCTCGTGGTGGGAATTGGCATGTTCCCAGTAATATGCCTGATTTTTATGGTGTTCAGCACAATTGGCACAAAAAGAGTATATTTTGGGAATTGCCATATTGGAAATATCTTCTTTTGCGCCACAACCTCGATGTGATGCATATAGAGAAGAACTTTTTTGAGAACATCATGAACACTATATTGNTGCGACATGGTCTACAACTGGAAGGGCGACTTTCAGGTATAAATTTAAAAATTATAATATATATTAATTATAGTTTTAAAAATATATATTATTGACTTTAATTCTAATTATTTTAAATCAGGTGAACGGTTACGAGCGCGGGAAACCCGATTGCCTCACAACCACGGTGTGGGATGGCCTCATCAGCTATTGGGCGTTGTCGGATTCGATCAAAACCTCCCATACAAACTCCGGGAACCGCATGGCCACAGACGAGCATGGCAACACGAAGATACTTCACACCACGGGCCGAAAACCTCACGGGGGAGTTCGTCTAGATATGGTATTTTTTATAACTATTTAATTTTTATTTTATTTGAATATTCTTATATTCTAAATTAATATTTAATTTTAAAAAAAAATTAAGGTTAAAGAGACAGGAGTTCTTCCATCTCTGAAAGACCTTTACGAGCGGACCCACCAGAGGAAGAATGGGCAGTTTGTAGATCCTGCTTCCGAGCGGATCTACAACGAGGTTGCTGCCCGAGTTGACGAGCGCCAGACCCAGCTGACTCAGCAGACTGGGGCTCCGGTTGTATTATCCACTCTTGAAGTGGATAAGATTTACGAGGAGGTAAATAATTTGTTTTAATATATTAATTTTTATTATTTATTTAAATTTTTTCTTACGTTATTAATATTTTAATTTACAGGTCGTCCCGAGGAAAAAGGGCCGGTTTATCGGGATTGGCTCGGTTAACGATGTCCCCGCAGTGACATCGGCTTATGTTAACCAACAAGCCGATGACAATGCTCAGCTCAGGCGACGCAGGCTCATGTGAGTACGCTCACGGATATCCTCGACATTATGGCGGTTGGAAACCCGCAAGTGGCGGAGATGTTGCGTCAGAGACGAGAAAGCGGAGCCCTTCCATCCCAACAGCCTCCACCATCTCAGTCACAGCCGCCATCCGACATTGGAGACGACGACTTCGTGCACCAATTTCAAGATCAGCAGCATCCCTTTTAGTTTTTTTTAGTTTTTAATTGTATATTATGAATTTAAAAACTTATTAATTGTATATTATTTAGTTATTTATAAATATTTTGTT